ATCGAGGATGGATTAATATTTCCTTAAATGCAATCTCCACCTTTAAATATATTTTTGAAAAATTTGAAAGGACAGTCATGAATTTTTTTCGAAGGATCATCTTAAATTGTAATCCTGAATATTTTTAAAGGTACCACCTTCCAGATATTGATGAATTTTATGAGAAATATGTTTTTTGACGATTTTTTAAAGGAACATAAACAGCTGAATTGTTGGATATTTTATTGATATTGGTTTTAATTACCATCTCGAACAGAAAATTCGGATTATTATTTTTTCAAATATTACTTCAATGAATACTTCCAAGGGGGCACTTCCAATATTCTATACATTTTATTGCAATAAAAAAAAAGAAAAAAAAATTTTTTTGAAATAAAGCTATAGCTCTCCTACCGCTAGCATACCTTCCATTGGTATTCTTTCTTAGTCACCTCTCCGAATATGGGTCGTTTTTTTTATACGAAAACCAATGGATAAATGGGTTGACTCGAAAAATCAAGTGATAAGCCAAATATGCTAAACAAAAATGCTTTCATTTTATCCAAAGCTAAAAACAGCTAAAAAGAAGCGACAAGCGAACCCTCCATACGATAAAAAAAAGAACGAAAGAATAACAACATAAGCAAACAATGAAACAGCGGCGCCAAGAAAACAAAATCCACAATTCAGCAAATAATTGTATTTTTTTTTGTTGCTTTTTTTATATAATCATGAACAATAAATAATAAAAAAATTATTCTGGTGGTGAAAGAAAGTAGCTAACCTTCAGAATCTACAAAAAGAAAAGAATAATAATCGATTTCATAACCGTATGTGTCAGAAATTCAAAATATTTGCTTAATAATAGGGAAGTGGGAGTTTTCAGAGGGAGGTTGTTTTAGACTCCTTCTTTCACCTCTTGGACAGAATATTTTCGTTTTGGAAATTTTGTTATTTTTTTTGTATTTGTTTGGTAGTAGGCCCTTGTCAAAACCAAATGGCAAGAGTATAGCTTTTTATTGGTTTTCTGTTTCTGTTTTTCACTTCTGTCCTTTTTGCTGAACACTTCGCTGGGTGGGTGTTACAAAATCCATTAAATGTTAAAAGTCAATGCCGTATTTTCGCCTAATTGCGTTTAATTTGCGTCGTCGTTTACTTCATTGCGATGGCCTTGATGCTTGGAAACTATTTTGACTATTTGCCAAAGGAAGGAGGAGGACTCAACGCCGGTTATTGACTTGGCATTTTTCGTGGCCGTTTAAAAGGTCAGCATTATCTTGCATAACGTCGAAAAAAGGTTTTTTTTATGATGGACTAAAGTGTTTAGTTTACAATTTGCTTTAGAATAAAATTAGAGGTAAAAAGGTCCTTGAAAAAACCGATAAAGATCCAGAATTTTTTTTTTCTTAAAAGAAGGGAAATATTTATGATTTTGGTGTGAAGTTCGAAAAAAAAAATCTTATAAAATTCATTATTTTTTTTGTTTAAATATTCCTAAAAATAATTTCTTAAACTTCCCCAAAAATTCGAGATTTTTTCTCCCGAGTCCTTAACATTATTTTTTAATATTTTTTTTTTATTTTTTTTTTGTTTTATTTTTGTAAAAAATCAAGGACATACAAATTCGAAGAAATTCTTGATGTTTAAAAATTTTAAAAAAAAGGTTAAGGCTCACTGTCCTTAAACAAAATATTTGTGACAATATCCAGGATTTATGATTTCGAAAAGTCTTGGATTTTTTTAGACTTATTGTCCTATGAAAAAAAATATATATTTGTTAATAATCCATGCTTTGGGTTCTAGATGGATGTTAAAATTATTTTTAAAAAATCCGAATTTTTTGTCTGATTGTGTCTCCAAATTTATGAAAAATTATGAATTATTTAAAAGTATTCCCAAAAATCAGATTTTTTTGGCGAAGGACAATTATTATTGAAAAAATCCGAGATTTTCTTGTCCTTGAAATAAAATATATTTTAATATTTTATTTGTGGGTCTAATAATACTTGAATATACATTTCTAAGAAATCCAGAATTTTTGTCTTACGGACCTTGAAAAATAAAAATTCGTAAAATATCCAAATTTTTGTGGGTCTAAAGTTTCTTAACAAATAATCTTTAAAAAACCATGTTTGTTGGTCCTAAGGTCATAAAAAATGGTTGTTATTAAATTCAGAATTTTTGGTCAGTGGCCCTTTACAAAATAATCGAAAAAAGGACCACGAATAAGAGTGTGGATGATCCTTGAGAAAATGTCCTTTAAAAAATCGATTTTTTTTTGGAGGTAATAATTGTTTCGTTCTACTATTGTTTTTTCTAAAAACATCCTCAAAAATCCAATTTTCGTTCTTGAAAAATATCTTAATAACCTTCCTTTAATTCCACGTTTAATCCTCATAAAATTTTTCTGGTAGATCCATGCATTACCCTTGCAAAAAATTCCTTAAAAATTCATTTCCGATCCTAAGTTTATGTTTTGTAAAACATATCCTCAAAAATCTCATTTTTGTCGTTGCAAAAACTCCTTAAAACTTATAAATCGGGTTTGGTCCTTGCCAAAATGTCCTTGAAACACCCACATCCATAAATATCCAGATGTGATCCTTTTCTTTTAAATTTCTGTTTGATTCTCATAAAAATGTCCTAGAGGACCCTTTCATTGAGTTTTGTTAAAATATCCTCATTCTCATAAAAATGTCATGGAAAATCTATGCATTTTCCTTGCAAAAATGTCCGTAAGCATGCACTTCCGATCCTTGCAATTATTTCCTTAAAGAATCCGATCTGAACCCTTCTTAAAAATCCTTATTTGATCCTTGCAAAAATATACGAAGAAACCAGTTTTGGTCCTTGGATAAAAATCCTGAAAAACCACATTAAAATCTTGTCTAAATTTCCATAAGATCCAGATCCAATCTATGCCCTAAATTTCTTTAAAATGCATTCACTTTAGTCCTCATTAAATTGTCCTGGAATACCAATGCATTGCCCTCGGCAATTCGATCCTTGCAATTATATGCTTAAAAAATCGTTGAACCTTTCAAAAATTTTGCAAAAATCCAAATTTGGTCCTTGGAAAAAATTCCTTTTAGATCCTCGTTTATCCTTGTGTAAATTTCCTTAAGAATCCTGATTCAATCTTTGCCCGAAATTGCCTTAAAAAAATTCGCTCTGATCCTTGAAAACAATTTCTTAAAATCCATGTTTATCCTTTGCAACAATTATCGTAAACATGCAAATCTGGATAAATCACTAAAAATCCAGCCAAAGTATATCCTTAAAATACACAGCAAGGACTATTTTATTCTTGAAAAAGGATATCACAAAAGTCCAGTTTGAGAACCCAAAAAGAAATGACCCAAAAATCACCAAAAGGACTTTGGATTGACATTGCAAAAAGCTTACTTAAAAAGACAAAATGGATGAAAAATATCCCTTAAAATCCAGGACATTCGGAGGTCCTTGAAAACAATATTCTTAAAAAAATGTGAAAGACTTTGCATGGTCCTTAAAAAATCAAAATTTCTATAAAACTGTAATTTTTTATCAAAAATCCTGGTTTAGTCCTTGAAAACCAGGAAAAATGTTATTTGATGTTAGGTCCTTAAAACATTTGTATAAAAATTAAAATATGATCCTTAAAAACATGTTTTAAAAAATCTCCAGTTGGTCCTAGAAAATGTTCCCAAAAATTTCCATTTGGTCCTTAAAAAATTTCCATAAAAATTTCTTTAACATATTAATAAGAAAATCCTGATTTAGTCCTTAAAAGGATTTTATAAAAAAACAAATTTGACATTGAAAAAATTTTACTTGAAGTTAAGTCCTTAAAATAATTGTATAAAAAATCAAATTTGGTCCTTAAGAGTATGGTTTAAAAAAACCTTCATTTGGTCCTTAAAAGAGTCCTTAAAAATTTCCATAAAAATTTCCTTATTCTTTTTTTAAATAAAAATCCTGGTTTAGTCCTTTAGTCCTGAAAAAATTGTATTTGAAACTCAAAAATAGCCATTTGGTCTTTAAAAGATTTTTTTCTTGGTCCTTTCAGGTATTTTTAAAAAAGGAATATTTGGTCCTTAAAAACATTCTTTGAAAAGTCCTTTAAAAATATTAAATAATCTCTTTACGACTTTGGATAGTTCTTGCAAAAACAAATCCTTAAAATACACCGCTGGGACTTTATTTAATTCTTGAAGAAGGATATCTCCAAAGTCCAGGCTGAGAACCCAAAAATATATCCTAAAAATTACGAAAAGGACTTTGGGAAGACATTGTCAAAATGTTTTTTTTTTTAAAGTAAACGTTTAGTCTTTAAAACATTTCCATAAAAACTCATAATTTTTTATTAAAAGGATTTTATATATTTTAAAAAAATCCTAAAAAATAACGTTCGTCTAAGGTTTGTCCTCAAAGATAGTGTTTTGAAAATTCCCACCCGCTGGCCCTTTCTTTAATCCACATTTGATAGAAAATATACTTACAAAGTCCTGGATTTTTTCCTTCTTTGTTCTTAGAAAAATACACTTAAAAATTCATGTTTTCTAAGTATAAGGACAATTAAATATTTGATCCCTAAAACATGAGGTAAAAAATCTTCTAAAAATTATTTTCAAAAATTCCTGTGGGGTCTTTAAAAGGGACCTTAAAAATTTATTTTATAAAGAATCCTGGTTTAGTCCTGGAAATATTTTTATGAAAATCCAAATTTGACACTGAACAATTTTTTTTTTGGAATCTCAAAAAATTACCATTTGGTCCTAAACCATTTTCGCTTGGTCTTTTTAGGAAATCCTTATAAATTATATTTGGCCCTTAAAAATATTCTTTGAAAAGTCCTTAAAAATTTTCTTTAAATAATCTCTTTCAAAAATTAAAAATACAAATTTCGTCCTTCCTAAAATATCCTGGATTTTTGGTTCTTGGTCTTTGGAAAAATATTCTCCAAAAATCCATGTTTTATTGGTCTAATTCTTTCTTATTTTTAAAATATTCTAATCTCTCTCCTTCTTTCCTCCTTCCAGGTTTCCATATGACACCAAAATTACATCTGATCTTTCCCGAATCCTGCCTGCTGATTGTTGTCGGTGTTGTCATTGGTGTGGTGCTGTTCTTTTGTACAGATGTTGCCGTATCACCGCTCACGCCCAACACCTTCTTCTTCTACATGCTGCCGCCGATTATATTGGATGCGGGGTATTTTATGCCGAATCGATTGTTTTTCGATAATTTGGGCACGATTCTGCTGATGGCTGTGGTCGGAACGATTTTCAATATTGCGACAATTGGTAAGTTTTGAAAATCAATTTTAAGTTTTTTTTTTTTCATTTAAAAATTAGTCTTCGATTCTAAAATGACCAGGAACCGATAAAAAAAGTGGGTGGTAGTGGTGGGGGGTGATTGGAAACAATTTCAACAATTAAAAAAATATAAAAAAAATAGAAAATAATTGAAATGAATGATGATGACGACGAAGACGAGCAGTGGCGATGGTGATGATATCGAGGATGGGTAAATAAAAATCTATTTTTATTTTTCCAATTTGTTTTGGCTTCCGTATGGAGGATGGAGGAGGATGAGGGAAAGACACGTCCCTCCCTTTCGATCGCCTCTCAGCGATAAGTAATGTTCTTGATAATGAATTGAATTTCTTTGTAAATAATTTTGACTTTGTTGGGGTCGTTGTTGTTGTTGTTGCTACCGTTGTTGTTGTCTATTGTTTGTCTTTGAAGCAGCCATAAATTGTTATTTGTGTCACCACCATCATCGCCAACAACAGCAGCCATTAGAATTGAACGGAATGTCGTAGTCAATGGCGGTCCACCCCACCCTACTCCACTGATATCAATATCCTTTCCTTGTTCGTCGTTTTGTAAATACTATAAAAAAAACCCAACAACAACAACAAATAATTTCAATTAATTTGACATTTGATCTTAATGAAATTGTTGCTGTTGTTGTCGCATTTCATTTGTTTATTATTGCAAAGTTTTGAATTTCAATAGTGCACTGCGAACAATGACTGTAGAGCGGAGAACAGAGGAGCACTTCAATTACAACAAGAGTTGAATTCAAAACCACACATTTGTTTAGACTGAATTGAATTGTTTTTTTTTTTATAAGCTTTTAGTATTCGGAGATTTGGCTATACAATTTCATAATATTGTTTGGATTGAATTTTTACACAATAATTGGAAGGAAGGAGATTTTCAAGGATAACTTTTAAAATAAATGCATTAACAGTGACTATTAATTAACAGTCGCTGTTAATGTATTAACAGCCAGTGTTAATGTATTAACAGCCACTGTTAAGGTATTAACATTCACTCTTAGTGTATTAACAGTTAAGGTATTAACAGTTACTGTTAAGGTATTAACATTCACTGTTAAGGTATTAACAGCCACTGTTAAGGCATTAACAGCTACTGTTAAGGTATTAACAGCCACTGTTAAGGTATTAACATTCACTGTAAAGGTATAAACAGTCACTGTTAAGGTATTAACAGCCACTGTTAATGTATTACAAGCCACTGTTAATGTATAAACACCCACTGTTAAGGTATTGACAGCCACTGTTAATGTATTAACAGCCACTGTTAATGTGTTAAGAGCCACTGTTAAGTTATTAACAGTCACTGTTAATGTATTAACAGCCACTGTTAATGTATTAACAGTCACTGTTAAGGTGTTAACAGTCACTGTTAATGTATTAACAGCCACTGTTAATGTATTAACAGTCACTGTTAAGGTGTTAACAGTCACTGTTAATGTATTAACAGTCACTGTTAAGGTTTTAACAGTCACTTTTAATGTATTAACAATCACTGTTAAGGTATTAACAGTCACTGTTAAGGTATTAAGAGTCAATGTTAAGGTATTAACAGTCTCTGTTAATGTATTAACAGTCACAGTTAAGGTATTAACATTCACTGTTAAGGTATTAACATTCACTGTTAAGGTATTAGCAGTCACTGTTAATGTATAACAGTCACTGTTAATGTATTAACAGTCACTGTTAATGTATTAACAGCCACTGTTAATGTATTAACAGCCACTGTTAATGTATTAACAGCCACTGTTAATGTTTTAACAGCCACTGTAAATGTATTAACAGTCACTGTTAAGGTATTAACAGTCACTGTTAATGGATTAACAGTCACTGTTAATGTATTAACAGTTACTGTTAAGGTATTAACAGTCACTGTAAAGGTATTAACAGCCACTGTTAATGTATTAACAGTCACTGTTAAGGTATTAACAGTCACTGTTAAGGTATTAACAGTCAATGTTAAAGTATTAACAGTCACTGTTAATGTATTAACAGCCACTGTTAATGTATTAACAGCCACTGTTAATGTATTAACAGCCACTGTTAATGTATTAACAGCCACTGTTAATGTTTTAACAGCCACTGTTAATGTATTAACAGTCACTGTTAAGGTATTAACAGTTACTGTTAAGGTATTAACAGTCACTGTTAAGGTATTAACAGTCACTGTTAAGGTATTAACAGTCACTGTTAAGGTATTAACAGTCACTGTTAAGGTATTAACAGTCACTGTTAAGGTATTAACAGTCACTGTTAAGGTATTAACAGTCACTGTTAATGTATTAACAGTCACTGTTAATGTATTAACAGTCACTGTTAATGTATTAACAGCCACTGTTAATGTATTAACAGCCACTGTTAATGTATTAACAATCACTGTTAATGTATTAACAGTCACTGTTAATGTATTAACAGCCACTGTTAATGTATTAACAGTCACTGTTAATGTTTTAACAGCCACTGTTAATGTATTAATAGTCACTGTTAATGATTTTTTACAGCCACTGTTAATGAATTAACAGCCACTGTTAATGTATTAACAGCCACTGTTAATGTATTAACAGCCACTGTTAAGGTATTAACAGCCACTGCTAATGTATTAACAGCCACTGTTAATGTATTAACAGCCACTGTTAATGTATTAACAATCACTGTTAATGTATTAACAGTCACTGTTAATGTATTAACAGTCACTGTTAATGTTTTAACAGCCACTGTTAATGTATTAATAGTCACTGTTAATGTTTTTTTACAGCCACTGTTAATGTATTAACAGTCACTGTTAATGTTTTAACAGCCACTGTTGATGTATTAATAGTCACTGTTAATGTTTTAACAGCCACTGTTAATGTATTAACAGCCACTGTTAATGTATTAACAATCACTGTTAATGTATTAACAGTCACTGTTAATGTATTAACAGCCACTGTTAATGTATTAACAGTCACTGTTAATGTTTTAACAGCCACTGTTAATGTATTAATAGTCACTGTTAATGTTTTTTTACAGCCACTGTTAATGAATTAACAGCCACTGGTAATGTATTAAGAGCCACTGTTAATGTATTAACAGCCACTGTTAATGTATTAACAATCACTGTTAATGTATTAACAGTCACTGTTAATGTATTAACAGTCACTGTTAATGTTTTAACAGCCACTGCTAATGTATTAACAGCCACTGTTAATGTATTAACAATCACTGTTAATGTATTAACAGTCACTGTTAATGTATTAACAGTCACTGTTAATGTTTTTTTACAGCCACTGCTAATGTATTAACAGCCACTGCTAATGTATTAGCAGTCGCTGTTAATGTATTAACAGACACTGTTAATGTGTTAACAGCTACTGTTAATGTATTAGCAGTCGCTGTTAATGTATTAACAGCCACTGTTAATGTATTTACAACTACTGTTAATGTATTAACAACCTCTGTTAATGTATTAACAGCCACTCTTAATGTATTAACAGTCACTGTTAATGTATTAACAGCCACTGTTAATGTATGAACAGTCACTGTTAATGTATTAACAGCCAGTGTTAATGTATTAACAGCCACTGTTAATGTATTAACAGCCACTGTTAATGTATTAACGGCCACTGTTAAGGTATTAACAGCCACTATTAATGTATTAACAGCCACTGTTAAGTTATTAACAGTCACTCTTAATGTATTAACAATCACTGTTAAGGTATTAACAGTCACTGTTAACGTATTAACAGTCACTGTTAAGGTATTTACAGTCACTGTTAAGGTATTAACAGTCACTGTTAAGGTATTAACAGTCACTGTTAAGGAATTAATAGTCACTGTTAATGTATTTACAACCACTGTTAATGTATTTACAACTACTGTTAATGTACTAACAACCTCTGTTAATGTATAAACCGCCACTGTTAATGTATTAACGGTCACTGTTAAGATATTAACAGTCACTGTTAAGGTATTAACAGTCAATGTTAAGGTATTAACAGTCACTGTTAAGGTATTAACAGTCACTGTTAAGGTATTACGGGCACTGTTAAGGTATTAACAGCCACTGTTAAAGTACTAACAACCTCTGTTAATGCATTAACAGCCACTGTTAATGGATAACAGTCACTGTTAATGTATTAACAGCCACTGTTAATGTGTAAACAGCCACTGTTAATGTAATTACAGCCCCTGTTAATGTATTTACAACCACTGTTAATGTATTGACAGCCACCGTTAAAGTATTAACAGCCACTGTTATCGTATTAACAGACACTGTTATTATATTAGCAGCCAACGTTAATCTGTTAGCAACCACTGTTAACCAATTAAGCGCCGTATTTAATGTTTAGCGGACACTTTTTATATATTTTCATCTACCATCAATGTTTTAACAGCCATGTCCTTTCAAAATTTTCCCAAATATCTCTTCCTTTAACCCTCATTATCCTTGAAAACCAAATGTTCCCAATTTTCCATTAACTATCGAATGACTTCACTACTCACATTTCCATTCACCATTCATTTGTTGTAAAAATTAATCACTCCATTCTCCAAATGCAACAAGCATGACCTCGCCCGAATACACAATTATTGGTATTAATGACAGTCGTTAAGCTTGTCATAAAAATTGTCTTAGAAAAAAAAAACAACAACGCACACATTATTAATAAATAATTTCATTTATTTATTTGTCCATAACTTTCTACGATTTGTTCGGAATCATTGGCCCAATTCCATAAAAGCCAGCAATTCAATATTTACACTGTCAATCAAGACCAAGACCCACAATAAAATTGGGCAAACATTAAAGCAGCCAGTGTTTGAGAAGCCCCATCTCCCGTCGCCACTTCGGAAAATTTTCCAATCTGTGACGAATTTTTTTCGTGTTGTGTTTTTTTTTCGAAAAGGTCATTGGGTAAATGATGACAATAGCAATTAATGGTAGTGGTGTTATTTTTGGGGGAGGGGAATGGAAAATAA